TACTCTACACTGCTCAAAACTCACGTTTGAATCATCAGTGGCAAATTCTTTAAATATAAAAAACGTACTTACAGTCTGTGAGTCAGAACATTGTAGTCTACTCTCCCAGGATCAGGAAACAGTCCTCCATAAAATGCGCTGGACACATCTGGATATTTGGGTTGAAGTGTTCTGGAACAGTGTTGTAAATGCAACTTAACCACTGATTTCTAGTTGTGGCCTCTTTTGGAAGGCCAAACAAAGTAGTTTCGCTTTCACAACGAAACACAGCGCCTTCACGACATGGCGGCAGCAACAAAACTACAGCGAGAATAAAAGTTACACCTTCTTTCTTTGCGTGAACATTTGGGCGGCGTTATGCAAATCTTCCCACATAATCCCACATGATCTTTACTTAATATCCTAATGATTTTTGGCATAAATAAAATCAATAATTTTGACCCATACAATGTATTGTTGGCTATTGCTACAAATATACCCCAGTGACTTAAGACTGGTTTTGTGCTCCAGGGTCACATATAATTAACCCTTACATTGAGTTTCTCAATGAGGCTATTAAGCTTCATATTAAATGCACCAGTTCAGCTGGAATCAGCTGGAGGTTTGCTTGCGTTTCCTGTGTTAGGTGATTATATCCGTGGATTAAATCTGTTGGAGTTCCCTCCGGTAGGGGTGTCCACTGAAAGGGGGTTTCCCAAGGTTGTTGATTGGCTGGAGGTTCAGTAGTCGTTCGAAGTGACGTCTTGGGGAGCCAATCGTTGGGCGTTTGCTGAAGAATGATGCGGAGTTGTGGGCTGGTTGAAGTTTTGGCGGCGGGCACAGACGAGGTTTGACTCTGAGACACAGCTTTGCAGCAAAACTTAACTCGGAACACAAAACTCTCAACGGAAAAGAAAATAAACTTAAGTAAAAGAAAGAAAGAAGAAAAGTGTCACGAGACTAGATGGCTTATCTCCTCATGATGGTTGAGGAGCACCTGGCATGTAAGCTAAAGAGCGCTAAAACCTTACGGCAAAAAGCATTGGATCAGATCTGTTCAAACTATTTATTCTAACAATGCGTTATACCTTTGACCATTAATCTTGGTTACTTGCCCCAAATATGACAATCTCCTTCCAGAGGTTGAATTATCAATAAGTGTTATTTTGTTTTAATGCTGCAAGCTGTTCAAAGCTGCTAGTTAGACTTGGTTCAGACTCGCTGGCACTAGGATCTGATTTACGATCATCCGTGTTGTCTTGGGCCTCTTTGTGAGATTCGGCTCTTTGTGTTTCATCAGTGTTCTGATCGAATCTTAAATTGCCTGATTCGCTCTGATACGCCACATAAATACAATGTTAACTTTAAAGGGGTCATATGATGCGATTTCTATTTTTCCTTTTCTTTTGTGTGTTATGTAGCTATTTGTGCATGTATGAGATCTGCAGAGTTACAATGCTCAAAGTCTCCCACAAAAGGATTTATTCTATCTAAAAGAGAAGGCTGATCCAGACCAGGTTAAAATGGCTCATTCAAACACGCCCCCACATCTCTACGTCACGATGTGGAAATATTTGCATAATACCACCCAAATGTTCATGCAAACAAAGAAGCGTGGTTTCAGGAACAGCAGTAGTGTTGATGCAGACTTGTCATGAAGACGCTGTGTGTTTCTGTGCGAAAGCAAAAGCACTTTATTTGGCCAAAGTATGTTTTCTTAATAGTTTAAGTATTTGCTATTAAAGGGGTCATATGATGCGATTTCAATGTTTCCTTTCTCTATTTCGTTGATATATTTTTTAGCTATATCGCCCAGCCCTAGTATAAGTCATTATAATCAGTAATTATGTCCCCACTGGATGCAACAAATGCCTCGTTTATAATGGGTTTTAAT